AAAACAACCAGACACAAAACCATGGAGTTTGGGCTAATTTCAAATTTCAGATTAGGACCAGAAACTTGATCTAAAAAAAACCAAGCCAGAGCTCACGTGATCAAGAAAGTATTCAAAATCACATCATTAAAACAACCCTCTAGTGAGTTTTCCATAGCTGTGATGCTAAAAGGCAATGAAGAGTCATACAACTAGGGCAGGCCCAAAGCATTGATAGGTTCAACAGTGTGTACCTCAAAAAATGTTACTTTCAGCTGCAATGACTTCCTTGACTGTTCTTAATTTGATAGGGGATATTAGAGAAACCGGTTTGCTCACTGGAAACCACAACCCACAGCATAGTTGTGTTAAATAACTTGCAAGCACTAGCTAGCTCTGCTGAGGAGATCAGAAATAAACTAAATGGAGGACCATAAATGTAGCTGATGGTACTGTGCATCCTACACTCAATGGGGCTGTTTGAGCATTGCAGCGTCAAGCTGGGTAAAAGCTTTTACTGCTGTGCATATTTCTGGGATGGTTAAAATTGGTTCCATTTTAACTGGAACTTGTTAAATTTCAAACAAGCACCATCATGCATTTTTCCCATGCGGCCCCTCACACTTGGGAGGAGCTGCCTATAAATATCTGCAAAACTACCTCATTATCGTCCACCAAATCCTTCCTAAAAGCTTCAGAAAACTTGGTAAGAGGCATCTAGACTGCAGAGACCACTGGTTATTACTATGCTGACCAATCTCACCTAATTATGCTTCCTCCGAGAGTCTATCTGTATGGACCTGCTGTCTCGTATCTTACATGGAGACTAAACTCTTCGGGACAGGGACGGTCATTATTCCACGTTTGTACAGCGACTGCCATCATATAGTGCCTCTCTGTGAGCAGAGGGGCCAACAGAATTGCTGGACCCCTGGACAAAATGGGGGGGCCAACTTCATAATCCAGGAAGGGAGCAGCCAGCTCTGAGTGCCGCCTGGACTACGCTGCACTCCCCCACTCCGCAGCATTTCTTCTCATTTTTTCCATCCATGTGCGGAATAAATGATGTTATGTGCACCACCCGTAGAAACACAGGTTGTGGGTGCTGCGAGCGCTCTCTTAATTAGCTGAGTAGCATTTGAATCTCTTCTGGGTGGCCACCCAAGCACTCAGCTTACGGGGAACAGCGTGAGCCATGCTTCAGCACTGCCTAGACCCGGTGATTTAAAGAACCCAGTGCTCTGGCCACTGACACAGTAGCAGCAGTGGCAGCCGGTAGCCCCAGGCCCTTATGAATCGCCAGGCCCTGGGGCAGTTGCCCCTTTACTCCTCCCTGTTGGTGGACCTGTCTGTGAAGAGGATCCCAGGTGCTGCTGCAATACAATAACATAAATAACATGTTTGGGCTAATACTAATACTCTCCTGATTTTTAAAAGGAAACACTCACCGTGCTTTATCAGTAGAGCCCTGCAAATCCGTGGATATCTGCTTTGTATCTGCATCAGTGAACGTGGATATCACCATATCATTTTTGCAGATACAGGTGCAGATGAAAATACCAGTTTGATATCCGCGCAGGGTTCTACTTATCGGTCCTTTTCCCTGGAGTTTACCCATTTCATTTTTAATGCCTGATGTGTCATCTATTTTTCCGGATACATTTTTATTATTATTCACGATCTGCTTAGAAATGCATCTCTCAAACTTTTGGGGCATGTGAAATGTGAATATAGGGAATTGTTTGCAAAAGCCAGATGGATCTTTGCCGTGAGCCAAACCTAATGTCTGGATCGAAAAGCTTCACTAGAGCTTGGCATTTTCAAAATGCTAAAAAAATTAGGTCAGACCAAAGCCAGCGGGGTTTTTTTTTTTTTTTTTAATTGTGGACCAACTTGGTTCAAACTGAAATTGAAAAAACATTCATTTTGGGCCAGTTGAAACATTTTTTTTTTCATTCCCACCATTTTGGAATAAAGTCATTTCAATTGAAACATGGAAAAAAACACATTCAGGTTTTTTTTCAGACGTTCAGACAATGAGGTGAAATCGACGTGAATTCGCAAAATGTCTTGGTGTCGTCTAATCTGTATGTTTTGCCCCTCCCCAAAAAAGCTTTGGCCAGAAAAATTCCACTCAGCTAGAGCTATAGTAAATTCCTATCCTCTGTGGACCAGGTGCAAAGGAGAACCAGAATTACACATTGGCCACCAGGTTACTATGTGTGTTGTGGTGTGCGTGTATGTATGTTACACACACATAGTAACACACATGTGTGTGTTATGGGGAGGGGGGCACAAAAGGGAAGGGGCTTGCTTGTACAGAAACGGCTTCCCTGGTGAAACTTAGATCTTTGGAAGCTTGAAGAAAAAATAATGAATGAGCATTTTATCAACACAAATGTCATCGGCAGCGAAAAACAAACAATGATCCACCCACTGTGCTACTTTACAAGGCATTCAATCAATAAAATGAGAACGAGCTTGTGTCAGGTTTATTGGCTGGGTTCAAAATGTGCATCACACGTCCCTACCTGGCGGGGAAGGCTCTGGTCAGGGGAAAGCTATGCCTTTGACTCATGGCAGCTGGGATTTTTTTTTACCCCCCCTTCCCCCTCCCTAACCCTACAATGCTTCATTGTTTAACATGGGCCTCCTCGTGTGAAACTACAAAAAAAAAAAAAAAAAGTCTTGTTTGTTTTGCCCGCTGGGCCCTCTTATCTTATCGACTTTGGAGCTACAATAGGCCAGGTGTACTCACCATTTTACCATCAGGGGAGAGTAAATTGTGGCCCGGGTCCAACCCTGCTGGAGAAACCTGCTGTAGGACGGACTGGCTGGTGGTCACCATGGCATTGTTGCCATGGTGACTGATTGTCGAAGAGGAAGTGACCTCACTGTTCCCCTGCTGGCTGTATCGGACTCCTGCAAAAAAAAAAAAACAAAAAAAAAACAACAAGGCCACGGGCAGTGTTTAATAACCCTCATCTGCCATACAGTCGTAAAGCACGTTCATGATGTTCGGCAAGTTCAAAAAGCAGCAAAACCACCGTCAGCAGGAGAGGAGGATGTTGCCGGAGAGGCAAAGGACATTATCATGGCGTCTAGTTAAAATAAAATAAAAATGAATGACACCAGGGATCAAAATCTCCCAATACTGTACTATCAGAGACACCTGTGACCCAGGCAGCTAAGAGAGTTAGTCATGGTCTTGTTGCTAGTCCCCCTTGTGCGTTTGCCAAAACACCAGACCTCATTAATGGTGTGGGGTTTTTTTTTATAGGCACGACACGAAACCGGCTCAAGGAGGGTCTAGATTCCTAACACTCCAAAGCTCACAAAGGCGGTGCTCTTCAGAGCCAGAAATTTGCTTTGGGCCTAGTTTTAATCTTCCCCATAGCCTGAGAACACTGTATCTCCAACCCATGCATCACCGAGTTGGGAAAAGACCAGGTTCCATTGCATCTGAACCTACTGTGTTTGGGACTAGGGAAGGGTGAGTATAATTGAATAACCGTTTCATAGACAAGCTGATGCTTATCAGTGAACTGTCTTGGTTACATGCAGCTGGCTCCCTGGGAGATGGCTTTGCTGCGGCTCGGAGCCGGGCTGAGAAGGGCTGACTGATGGGGGGAGGTTTTGCTGCCGCAGCAAGGCCACCTCCCCAGGAGCCAGGCTGCAGAGCCCGCAGCGCGGGTAACCGTGTAACCGCTGAGATTTTCTGTGGTTACACAGTTACCCTGTTACATGATTTTTAACAACACTACTTGGGGCAGAGGGAAAGTGCAGGGGTAAGTTTGGGGATGGTTCATCTCTCTGACGACTGACAATAAGAGCAGTGGGAGCAAGACATTGGGAAAAGGACTTGAAATCTTTTGCGCCTTGGTTCTGCTCATTTGTGTTTTCTGTATCACTTACAGGCTGTGTCTCAGAGCGGTTTTGGTTCGTTTTCGGTTTAATTTCTCCAACCTGGTTTGAATCAATTTAATTTGCTTAGCATTAGCTTTCAAACCTCTCTGTTTGATGGCACGGATGTAGGAATTCTGAAGTAAAAAGACAGGACTGTCTGGGCTGCTCATTCGCATCCATAATGTTCCTCTATCTAGTAAACAGTTATTCCATAACCATCTTAGAGTCGGACTACAGTGGTCTGGGAACATTTTGGACTTTGGGATGCACAGAATCTGGTGCTACACACTTAGCCAGAATTGGGGAATGGTTTCTCCGTCTTCCTAAATTCAGTTTAGCGCAAAGTTTCCAAGGTGCCCTCAGCCAGACCCTCATAACTGCACCTGCAATTTGGGTTTCAGGATTATTTACCTGTGCAAATCAGACTGTGAGTATCTTGCCACCCACCATTTGTGAATGGAAGTGCTGTTCCTAAGTGGAAATGCAGCATTTTGCATGCAAAAACCCAGCCACCAAATCGCAGAGAGCACATGTATGCCACATTGCTTTAAAATATGCTGCCCTTGTTGCAGTTGGATTTGCTTTTACGCCACCTGTTCCTTTAGGTTACCAACTACTCTGCAGTCACCCCATGTATTGCATTAGATCAGTGACAGAGGAATGAAAGCTCAGAACATACACAACACTGTTTAAGCCTGTCTAATTGCACTTTGTTCAACGTGTATTTGTTGCTGGGCCGAGAGGCGTTTCAAGGTTGTAAAATTCTTGATGGAGAACTTTTGTACAAGGGCCACCTTTCCGCAGATGTTTACAACCTGCTCCCCTCCCCGCTCTTGGAAACAGTAAAAGCTAGAAACAAGAGAGAAAGTACACAATGTGAGCTGACAGGCTGGCATGCACCGAGGAGTCAAAGGCCCTGACGTTTATTTTACTGTCAAAGTTCTGTCCCCAAATGGGTTGCAAACACAACCTCAGCAGAGAAGGCCAAAGTTAGTCAAGGGGAGCACATGGAAAAACAATGTCACTTCTGATGGAGTCACAGTTTCTGTTATTTAATTGCAGACTGGATGGCAGGCCTTGGGACTAAGAAGCCCAAGTACTCACCTTCGATTCCCCTGCAGCCAGTTTTAATGTCAAGAAACATTTTTAATTGTAATGTTTAGGGTTAGGGTTGCCAGATGGCTTCGGAAAAAATACCGAACAACAACAACAAAAACAACATGCCAGGAAAAAAGTTTATTGAGCAAAAAAAAAACACCGTGGCCCCTTTAAAAAACGTGGTGAGGCTTTGGGGCCCTAACAGGCTGCCAGCGGCCACCTGCCATCTTGCCTTCCTGCGCTGAGCCAGACAGCTCTCCTGCAGAACCCAGTAAGCACTAGGGTTGCCAAGCTGCCTCCATATTGAGCTGGACAGCCGTGGATTTTTGTCTCCTGGCCAGGAAAAAATCAGAAAGTACCGGACATTTTAGGCATCCAGTATTTTCTGAATTTTTTTACTAGACAGGAGGCGAAAATACCAGCCTGTCCAGTTCTATACCAGACACCTGGCAACCCTAGTCCTGGTGCAAGGTTGGCCCCCTAGAGACAGAAGGCAGCAACAGTGCAAGATTCACCAGCATGTTCTAGACACCCTCCCCAAGAGTGGGCCATCTCTCAGGGTGAGAGCATTCTGTTAATTCATCTCTTGGTCTTGTTATCTCAGGCCCTGGTCCTGAGGTGAGATCTGTGTAGATGTACCCTACCACCTTCCAAGAGCACCACTGGCCCGTCCAGTCTATACCCATCAACGATCCAGTCTGAAGTTAACACAATGTGTCAGTATACATAATTTGTCTAAAAAGCCCCTGCACTGATAACCACAAGACCTGTGGTATGTCACGGGAAGGCATCTACAGCAGATTACAAATAATTAACTAAGGAAACCCACTGGAAACAAAGGCCTCCTTTACAAAGCCACCTTGACAAATGCAGCATAAAAGCCATTAACTATAAACAGTCAAACACCACATATAACCAGCTGGTTTAATGCCCTCTCTTGGTAGAATGAAGTGACTGCTTGTGAAAGGGACAGGACTGACAGCCCTGTGGTTTCACTGCCTCTGCCTGTTCACAAAACAGATACAGCATGAGCTGCAGAGATGCAACGGCCTTGCCATTGTGTGAAGACAGAAGACCATGTCTTCACTAGGGGGGAAGATTGACACAGCTACGATCAATCTTTTGGAGTTTGATTTAGCGGGTCTAGTAAAGACCCACTACATCAAACTCAGAGGGCACCCCTGTTGGTGCTGGTACTCCTTCTCCTGCGAGGAGTAAGGGAAGCCAACAGGAGCAAACCTCCCACTGTGGAGACGGAGGGGAAACTCAAATTAAGGTCCGTCTACTCCAACACCATACCTGGGGTTGGGTATCTCAATTCAACCTTCCCCTTTAGTGTAAACCTGGCCTGAGAGGATCAAGAAACTGGAGAGAGACCACGAGGGGATCTGACAGCCAAGTCGGGCCCATAGACACTTCCAGAAGGGACAGGGACAGGCAGCCAGCCCTTAGAGCAGAGCTGGGCAACCTGCAACCCAGCAGGGTTCTACGTGTGGCCCACGAGACTTTTTGTTTGCCGTCGCCAGTGCCCAGGGTTGCCGAATCCTGCTGGTTTTCGTCCGCGTCGTTTTCTTCTACCCGTATTACAAACGTGACACACCCTTAAAGCAAGGGCATGGGACTGAGGTACATGCTGACTTGCACACAGAATTGCGGCTGAGAGAGCCGTGCACTCCCTCTGCATCCCATAAAAGCGCTGCTACATTCAATCAACCCGCCCTGCAAATTCTAGGTACGCAAGCACTCTCAGCAAAACTGCCTTGGTTACAACAATCTTGCAGCCCACTGAGATGAAGGAGGCCCACTCATGTGGCTCACTCATTAATCTAGGTTGCCCCTCACTGTCTTAAGAGTGCGTGGTACTCGGTCTCCAGGTGCCACTGCTGTAGTAGCGGCGGTGGCAGCTGGGAACCCCAGGCCCACTAAAATGGCAGAGCTGTGAGGCAGTTGGCCCTTTGGCCCCCACCTACCAGTGGACCACCAACTCACCCACACAGGCCACTACAAGCTTTTAGATGGGATGAATATTGATAACATATCATCTTTCATTGCCACGAATCCAGACAGGGTTTTACAAACACCTTTGAAAGGCTCCAAGTTAGACCTAGGTAAATTTTTTTCAGTCAAACATTCTCCCATGCATACTTATACACATAAAATCCAGGTTCAGGTCACCCACAATATTTTGCAAATTCATGTCAAATTCACCAAATTGCTTTGACTGATGACAATCATTTACAAAAAAACAAAACAAAAAACCTTAAGCCCCAAGACATTGAAACACTGGGACATTTTCAAGATGAAGTTCATAATTCAAAAAGACTTTTTGCTTCATAATGCGCTTCACTTTCATTTAAAATGTTTTAAAAACCTCTTCAACTAAACAAAACATTTTGTTTTTCAGTCCAACAAAATATACTGTTTGCGCTGTCATTTTTGGGGGGCTTTTTTCAATAAAACAAAACTGAAAATTTTTAAAAAATCATTTTGAGTTAACAGTAAATATTTTCCCCTCTATTTTTCAGAAGGGCCAGCAAGCCAAAACAATCCATTATTTGTACAACTCTGCTCAGACTCATTACCAATCTATCCCACCACCAATCTACCTACTTATCTACCTTCCTCCTTTCTTGCTTAATGACCCTGTGTACCATAAGGGCTGCAATTGGGAACTATGGACAAATTGTAGGGCAAGATATCTGCAGCTTTGTCATGACATGTCACAGCCTCATATGATGGCTACACAACCTCACAAATCCTGAACCGCACAGATAATGAAGTGACAAGGATCTGTGGACATATCAGGCTCTTAATGTGGGAAGGAGCTAAGGAAATCACAACTGTCCTAAGCATTTAGGGCAACTCACTGGCAGCCCATGTAAATTAGAAAGATTTCCTACAGTACACATGGATGGTCA